TCTAGGCCATCTTGTAGATGCGCCTCTCACTTTTCTAGTTCAAGATTTGATTGGGTTCGTCTCCGATGTATTAGAACTATGTTCTTGTTTGAGTTTATAATGCCATCTATCGTTTCGACCAAAAAAAAAAAATAGAGTGAGAGGTGTCAAAGGACAATAAGAGAGAGGAAAAATGATAATATAGTTTTGAATGGTCCTATTGATTGAATATTTTGATCCAATAATTATTTGACCATTTATTTCATTTGAGCTTAAATTTGAGGCTATCTAAAAGTAGGTGAAAAGTGATTCCCCTTATTTGTTTTAATAAATACACAATTATGTAGCTAAAACTTTTATATATAAAATTAGCATAATGTATCACTTATCGTGTTATTTTTATTCACATAACAAATGTTTTTTTTATAAGAAATGATGAGAGCATATTATAATTGCAACTCAAAATTGCAGTAGATAAAGGTAAACACTGCTTATTATAATGCATCATCAACTTTTTTCTTATCATATATCATTACTAGTACAATACCCGTGTATTACACGGGTGCCTGTTAAAAAATTATTCTTAAATTTTAAAATTAATGAGAAAATTATATTAAATTTAGTTTACTTTTTTACAAAAAAAATATATTACTATATATTTTAGAATGATATGTGTTACTTATGGCTTACATGTGTTATATTATATTAGTTTTTATAACTTATATCATATAACTACTTGAAATATAAATATATTAGTTGATAAATAATTTTATTTTTCTAATTAATATTAAAAATAATTTTATTATTGTTATAAAGATAAATATAAATTATTTTTTTATACATACAATATGGATGTTAAATCGAAGCTTATCAAAAGAAGATTAATTTGATATATTACATATGTAAAACTGATAAAAAATACAAAAGTTATTAACTTTTAAAATATATATACAATTCAATAGTTATAATAAGGAATGATATTAAAATACAATTAATACATGTAACATGACCATAAATAATCAACATATTTATGGTAATCCGAACCTAGTTATTTTTGGTTTGGAATTAAATTAAAATTTACCCAAGCCTAATAACGAAGCATGTAATTTTGCCTCATAGGATTCCGAAGCACCAGAAGCAGCCACGTAGGCTCAGCGCATTCTGTATTAATATATAGGGGGGAGGGGGATGTTAATTTCACAAAAATATTTCTTTCTTTTAGATTTTATATAATATAATATAATTATTTATTTCATATTACTTTACAAAATTTTTGTCCATTTGAATTTCTAAAAAATATATTGAATTGCAATTCTAATTGATTTCATGAAAAAATAAGTATTTTAATATTACATTGCATTAAAATTTTCATGGATTTCATACAAAAAAATAAGTATTTAATAAATATACAATTATGCGGCTAAAAATTTTATGACTAAAAATAGCATAATATGTCTATTAACGTTTAAATTTTGTTCATATAACAAATGTTTTTTTTTTTCATAAGAGAGTGATGAGAGCACATTATCGGAACTGAACATTGCAGTAGATAACGTTAAACACAATATATTATAATGAAACAACTACTTTTTTCTTATCATATACCATAATGTTAGTTTCACAGAAATGTTTTTTTTTTTTTTGGATTTTATATATTATAATTTAAATGTCTTTTTTGGTATTAAATTTTTAAAAATTGTATTGTATTATAATTCTGATTGATTACTGGATCTATTTATACCTTTATGAAAACTGATCAATCTTTCATGTCATTTTTTAATCACAATCGGTGCATATTTTGCAAGAAAATGAAATGTTGAGATTTATTTTCATGCGGATAGAAATTGGGTAATTTTTATTTTTTAATTAGTTTTTTTTTTTTTTTTTTGGGTACAATAAAGGAGGCCGAAGCCTAAAGATCAAGAGTTCAACACACGACGTGGACGAGCCACCCCTACGATATCATAAGTCAACCAATGGCCAAGATCCGGTGGCGGGGAGAAAAGGCGCTGATACCCCACTGGAACACTCGCAGCAATCGAAGCAAGCTTGTCTGCCGAAAAATTCCCTTCCCGGTAAATATGCGACACTCGAACATTCCACTCCCGCTTGAGTAAGTCGCGAATGGCCTGAATAATGGGTTCGTGGAGCCCAAAATTTTCATCATCCCCGAGAACCATATTCACGACACTACTATTATCCACTTCTATCATGACATTCCGCTCGTCCAATTCCCAAGCCAAACGAATACCGTGGAAGAGCCCCCATAACTCCGCACCTGTTATAGAGCAAAACCCCACATTCATGAGAAATCCACCTAACCATCGCCCATGAGGGTCCCGAGCCAACCCACCGGCACTTCCCCGACAAGAATCCGGGCACCGCGCACCATCCGTATTAACTTTGATCCACCCACTAGGTGGGGGCGACCAATGAATCATTTCCTCCCCATAACAGCATTCACGAATCCCCAATATCTCAGCACCATCCATGCTCCGCTCATGCTGTTCAACTCTAAGTTTAATGTCGGCAATCTTCGTCTCAAAAGGAATGACTTTATTCGAAAATATGGTCAAATTTCGCCAAGTCCATATCCTCCAGCATGTAATTGGAAAAATTTATCCCACTGTGCAAGCCCAGTAGCAGCACTCTCCAGCACTCTCCATCTAACTATTATTTAATAATTAGTTTACTTTACATATAGAAATTTTATTTTTCTCATCTTCGTACATATTAACTTTAACTATTCATATATTATTTTATTTGTAGAATAGTAATTATGTGCCAAAAATATATTGTATTTTTTAATTACAAACAATGATATGTTGTTATTGTTTATTGAGTCACGAATTCATATTGTCTAACTATTACTATTACTATTGGTGATAAGGACATACTTCATCTACTATTAAATGTATTGATAAAAATTTTATTCTACATAGAGAGACGCGCGAGTGACGTACTAGTATACTTTATTTTAGAGATTTTATTAGCTTAGGGTGTAAAAGATGGATTAACTATCATTTTTAGTGCTCAAAGATTAAATCTACCACACCCCGAAGTGTTGTTAAACAAATAAATTAAAACATCTTAATATAAATAAATATTAAGAAATAGATGGAAAACATAGTAAATTTTTGTATATGACAACAATAACTCAAATGTAAAAGTTCATAAATTAAAAATGTTATATTATAAATAAAAAATAAAAAGAGATGAAAAAACAACGTAAATTTGCTCTCCGGTCACATATAGAAAGAAAAAAAAAATGAAATTATAGCAAAAATTTAATGATGTTTTTCAAATTATTTTTTTAGTTTTTATTTATATTGAGATAACTTTTGTTAATATTGATGGTCATTTCATCACATATTAAGAAGCGTATATAACTTAATGTTGGAAATCGATAGATTTTAGAATCGTAGCGAAAGCGAATGATCGACTATTATGCGATTAAATTAATATTTTTTAATTGAATTGAAATAAGAAAACCGTTTATCCTTGGTGAGCAAGCAATATAAGACACTAACCGAAGAGCGCTTGGATGATGAGATGGCTTGGGTCTCTTTCAGTTTAACCAGTGGTCTTGTGTTCGAGCCCTGAGAATACAACAGTGTTAAAACTTTTGAGGGAGAGCTTTGCCGTGTCCTACCCGGCTCGATTCCGGATTAGTCGGTTCCCCTATGGATCCGGAAACCGGAAGTTCCCTTTTTGAGGGAGAGCTTTGCCGTGTCCTACCCGGCTCGATTCCGGATTAGTCGGTTCCCCTATGGATCCGGAAACCGGAAGTTCCCTTTACCCAAAAAAAAAAATTAAGACACTATATATATATATATTGCCCTTCAACGCTCAATCTCTTCATTCTCTCAACTATAAATCCCTAATCTCTCTTTCTTCTGCAAAAGCGTAGCAAGAAAAAACCATCTCCATCTCCTTCCTCGGCGATGGCTTCGTCCGCCACCACAACAATTTCTCTCGTCGGCCCGCCGGAGATCCACCGGAAGTCTACCCCTCTCGTCGCCCCCGACCCGGCCGCCACAGGAGATCAGTTCATGGACCTCATGGTGGCCAACTTCAACAAGACGGCGGTCCCGGCCCCCCTCCCACCCATGGGCTTCACCGAGAACTTCTCGCCGACCTTTCTCTCTTCCGGAAACCCCTGCCTGGACTTCTTCTTCCACGTCGTTCCCGACACGCCGCCGGAGGCCCTCGCCCAGCGCCTGAAGCTCGCCTGGGAGGACGACCCGCTGAAGGCTCTGAAGCTCGTCTGCAACCTCCGCGGCGTTCGCGGCACCGGCAAGACAGACAGGGAGGGAGGGTACACGGCGGCGCTGTGGATCCACGAGAACCATCCCAAGACCCTCGCCTGCAACGTCGCACCCCTGGCCAAGTTCGGCTACTTCAAGGACCTCCTCGAGATCCTCTTCCGCCTCGTCGAGGGCCCCGACGCTCGTACACTGGCTAATGCGGCTTACTGGAGTTGGAAATCGAGCGGCTCACGCCGGGCTCGTGAGCTTGCCAAACGCCTGCAGGCCAAAAAACCCGAACCGATGGCCCCACGCTATGGCGGCATAAGGAAGAAGACTCACGGCCGGATGAGGAGGACATCCAACCGGCCGAGCAACTCCAATGAGTGCTCGAACCAGCCGAAACTAAGCAACGAGGAGAAGAGGCTTGAGCGGGCCAAGAAGGCCTCTGATAGGTTCAGCCGCGACCCTGATTACAGATTCCTCCACGAGCGCGTGTCGGATTACTTTGCCCTGTGCTTGCGGTCGGACATGGAGATGCTAAACACCGGCCAATCGAACAAAATCAGCCTTGCCGCCAAGTGGTGCCCCTCCCTGGACTCCTCATACGACCAGGTGACTCTGCTTTGTGAGCCCATTGCCAAGAAAGTCTTCCCGAGGTCTGAATATCCAGAATATGAATTAGTCGAGGAGGCCCACTATGCGTATCGTGTTCGGGACCGTTTACGTAAGCAGGTTCTTGTCCCTCTTCGTAAAGCCCTCGAGCTGCCAGAGGTTTACATGAGCGCGAAACAGTGGAGTACACTCCCTTACAACAGGGTATCCTCTGTTGCCATGAAAATGTACAAGCAGGTGTTTGTGGAACACGATGAGCAGAGGTTCGGGGAGTATCTCGAGAAGGTTGACAAGGGTGAGGCCAAGATTGCCGCTGGAGCTCTGCTTCCGCACGAGATAGTCGCAGGACTTGAAGACGGTGACGACGGCCAGGTGGCGGAGCTTCAGTGGAGGAGAATGGTGGATGACATGGTGAAGTTTGGGAAGCTGAATAATTGTTTGGCAGTCTGTGATGTGTCGGGGAGCATGGACGGGATTCCATTGGATGTATCAGTGGCTCTCGGGCTTTTGGTGTCTGAATTGAGTGAGGAGCCTTGGAAAGGGAAAGTGATTACGTTCAGCGAAAGTCCCCAGCTTCAGACAGTCGAGGGTTCCAGCCTGAAGGAGAAGACTGAGTTTGTAATGGAGATGGATTGGGGCGGGAACACGGACTTCCAGAAGGTGTTTGACTTGCTGCTTCAGGTGGCGGTGGATGGGAAACTGAAGCCGGATCAGATGATCAAGAGGGTGTTTGTTTTGAGTGACATGGAATTTGACCAGGCGTCTATGAACCCATGGGAGACTGATTACGAGGCGATTGTGAGGAAGTTTGGTGAGAAAGGGTATGGAGAATGTGTGCCGGAGATTGTGTTTTGGAATCTGAGAGATTCTCCGGCGACTCCGGTGGCGGCGGGGCAGCCGGGAGTGGCGCTTGTGAGTGGTTATTCGAAGAATATGATGAAGGTGTTTTTGGAGGAAGGTAGGATTCTCAGTCCCCAGGCTGTTATGGATCAGGCGATAGCGGGCAAAGAGTATGAAGAGCTGGTTGTGCTGGATTGATTCGGATGGATTTGGGTAAAGGGGAAAAGGTTTTTTTTGAGGATATCTGGTTTGGATTGGGTTGGATAGTTTGGTTGAATAGATTGGCCATATGGTTTTGATAATCTGCTTTGTATTTTTAGAATTGGCCAAAAGGATTTTGATCATTGCTCTATTTGTTGATATCAATGGAACTTTAATATTTTTTTCTTTATTCTGCTTTCATATCTATATATCTTCTTGTTCTGTTTGAGTTGATTGGCTATATTATATGTTGTGATAATCTGTTACCTTTTTATGATGAAAACAGTTCAGGTGGGGATTTTTCGGAAAAAAAAAAAAAAACCATTCTCGTTCGACAGGAACTTTAAAAATTTTACGTGATCTCTGAAAAAAGTTGTAGGAAAATACATATTCAATGTTTTATCGTGTTCATGTTTCGTAGTATACGTACAAGTGCCTTCTGCAGGCCTAGCTGAGAGCGTAGGATCTGAACCGTGCGTTGCAGGTCTACAGAGAAATGTGGAGGAAAGGGCAACAAGCTGGATAGCTTCGGGTACAACATGCTGCTGCTTCACGCCCTTGCTAAAGATGAAGAGGTCTGTTTTTTCCCCTTTCAATTCAATTACGATGATTGGCTTTCTGTTGCTTTTTCTGTTTGTTCATCGAGGATGCATGAATTTCGATGGCAATGTGGTGATTTAGCTGATTTATGAAGGTTGGCGATTGTCTCTAAAAAAGATAATCTACACGTACACCATTTTCATAAGGATGACCCAAAGATGCAGTATCTTTGTTGGACGAGATGCTCTCCAAGGGCATCAAACCCAAAATCCATGGCTTATAGTGTACTATGATTGAGGCCTTGGTTACGGCTGTTTGATGAGATGATTGCAGCCAGGGGGCTGTTCTGTTGTCCTAACCAGGTGACTTACAATATTTTGCTCGACTGTTGATATGTACCAGAAGCTGAAGGAGTCGGGTGTGACTCCGGACTCCAGCACTTGGCAAAGTGGTTCGCAGAGGAAACACATAATACGAAAGCAGAACCCGATTACTGGTTCGTTGGGTTGTGAGCCCATTGAGGTGATCCGATCCCAGGCGAGGGGGAAAAGTTTTCGAAATAAAAATTGTTGCTGGCATTGATCTTGTCGAGGTATCCATCCAGTTTTATGTTTCCAGAATTTCTGGTTTGCAGGCAAACGGGAAAATGTGTTTATCAGCTGTGATATTTTATTTACCATAACAATAAGATTACACTAGTGTAGCCCGTGGCAATAATTATTATGTATTAAATAAAAGAATATTAATCAATATATAAAATAGTTTTAAACATTAATAATTATTATTTTTTATTTTATGATATATAATAATTTAATATATGATTTATAAGGTTATTTCACTCGCTATATATAAAATAGTTGTCATTTTTAGATCCTACTAGTGTATATCCCGTGCCATGCATGGGTTGTATAAATTTGGAAAATAATATAATTTGACATGCACTAAGATAAAAAAAAATTGTAATAAATAGGAACATTATTGAATAATAAAATGTTCGTCACGAAATAATCATATATTATTAAAACCTTTTTGTACACCACATTATGCGTTTGATCATTGGGTAACTCGTCATTATCACATATATTTTGACGTTTATACTTGCATCACGCATAACTGTAGATTGATGAAATATTAAATTTTTCTGAAAATAAAAAATAAGAGAAAATATATGAAAATTTACGTAAATTTTAAATCACAAAATTTTAAAGCCCAATTTTACTGATTCAATAATGATATTAAACCTAATGCAAAATGTTGTTGCCATTTATTATGGGCTTTTTATTTTTTTATGTTGGGCCCAATTTCAACTATCAAATCAAAACACTGCACCTTAATTTTATGCCCAATTTCCGGCTCAATTACGAAAAAAAAATTGCAGGCCTGTTTTTTAGATGTTGGTTGATCCAACGTCTAAAATGGTCTGTATATCAAAGGGCGGATGCTAAGTTTGGCCTTTTATATACATATTGATTTTCGGTTTTGAATTTCACATTTTTTTTTGCTCATTTTCTCTCGCAGCCCTCTACAAATTTCTAGAAAATCGTCTCAAATTTCGCTCGCCGCCCTCTGCAAATTACTATTTTTTTTATTATTCATATGAGTTTCGCCTTTATCGTACCCAGCGATACTCGAATCAGACTCGATGTTCACAAATAATGAATCGACAGTCTGATTTCGGAAACCGAAAAAAAAAATATTATATATTGGCCTACGATTTCTTGAATTTTCTTCAAGGTAATTAAATATTTTTCATTTTTTGGTTGATTTGGCTTTCATTTATGCGAAATTTACTAAAAAATGATGATGAATTTGGTTAATTTTTTCGACTTTTGGTTTAAATTTGAAAGTATTTTGTGGAAAAAAATTATCAGAAATAAGTCTGATTGAATACTTAGGTTTATAAGTTTGTTAGTAAAAAGTTGTAAATCTTATACGTTTGCTTAGATTTCGACCCTATTTTGACATATTCAATTTGAAAAGGTCTTTTGTAGTTTATCATTTTTTTATGATCGTCAATTTTCTTAAACTTTTTTATCAAAATCTCGAAAGTTTAGATATTAAAAAATTAAATATTAAATTAGCACGGATTGTTTTTATTGTTCCACAACATAAGGTAATAGTGGAGTTTCTTTTAATAAACACACTATTTTGAAGAACAAAATAACAAATGCATTAAATTAAGGGCTGCCCGATTTTTTCTAACAAATAAAAATAAAAAGTTACTAATCTTGGAATATAATTAATGCTGTACGAAATTGACCAAAGTTTTGACCTGCCATTTTTAAAAAATGGTAAATCTTTATATATATATATATATATATATATATATATAGATTTATAATTAAACATAATAAAAATATTTAAGATATACAAGTATTATCAATAAATAATTCTCACATAATATTTCTCTCTCTTTCTATTTTCTCTCACTCATACCTTGTTACTATATATTAGTAGTACAACGCACGTGTACTACACGGGTGTTTAGGGAAAATATTAATTGTGCAACAAAGAATTTAAATGAAATAAAATTTGTATTGTGAAACAAAAATGATAAAGAATTAATAATAAAGTACAAGAATTTATAATATTATTTTAAATTCCAAAAATATTTTGTATGAAATATTATTTATTTTATTCAAGATTATATTCATTTTATTTTTTTAAAATTACATAGAATAATTAGATTATTACATTTATTATGACGTCCGTGAACAACAGGAGTGCATTAAAAAAATAAAATATTTACATATAAAAATAAGTAAAAAGTTAATAGTCTTATAATGTAATGATAAAAAACTGAAGTATAAACTAATAATTAATAAATTAAGAAATTTAGTTATTTAAAGTAGTACCTATATTTTACACTCAATTTATTAAAATGATATTTTTTTAACACACACACACGCATATGTAATTATATTATCTACAAATCAATAAATTTATTTTGATTTAATTTAAGTTTTTTCCAAGTTTGATTAATAATTTATATACACATTTTTCTTCCCTCGTCTATTATATTTTTTAATATCATCAATTTTATAATATTCAATAATTTAAAATACAATGTGAATGAGTGTAATATTTATTAAATTTATAAACTATAATAATTATTTTTATTATTTTTAATTATAGTTAACATTTTTAAAATTTTTGAGATCATTATAATGTTCAATCTCTTTGTAGTCTTTATTTAAGTTATAATATAAATTTTAAAAAATTGTTTTATACTTATATTATGTTCATGCATAGTTTATATATATTACTTTAAATTAAAATAATTTTATGATATGTTGTTAAAAATCAATTTCAATTGCTTCATAAGAAAATTCGTAGTTTTTTTTATTTTATTTTATAATTCATTTGATAAATCAATTTAAAAATTTATTTATAAGATATATCACTATTTTATATTTTATATATGTAATATAGATGTCAAATCAAATATCGTTAAAAATAATTAATTTAATAATTAATATAAAAATAAAATAAAAATAAAAAAGTTGTAATTTTTTTTTAAAAAAAATAAAAATACACACTTATTAATTAGTGTATTAATTAAATAAAAATGTTATATGTGGTAATGTAGGAAAATTAAATATAAAATAGTTTATGGTAATCAATTAACATGTATAAGAAAGGAAGGAAAAGATCAAACAAAAATTTAATTTGACTAATATAGATATTAATGTTATCCAAGATTAACTAGTGCGTAGCCCGTGCGACACATGAGTAAACAATATTAAATAACAATTATAAATTCAAGATGATGGTAAATAATATGAACAAATTATTATAAATTAAATATGAGGGTAAACAATATTAACTAATAATTATAAGTTAAGATGTGGAGTTAATATGTGACATAATTTATCGTACTTGTAAACAATATAAAATTATCTTGTATAAAATAACATAAAAAAATGTATGTTTAAAATATTAAAAACACCTAAAATATTATATAAGGCATGTAAAATATGTAAAATTTTATATATCATTATTGAAAGATGTGAAGTACTCACCTAAAATTTTTCTAATTATTTTGTAAAGAAAACATGTCTAAAACTAATTTAAAAGAAATTGTCTACAATATATTATTCAATTTTTAAAAGATGATGATTAGTAGAAGTTTGAATTTTAGAATCCACGTGAGCATTAATTTTGAGATCCGTGTACTATTCAAATTATTAGTTGTGAACTTCATATTAATTTGTTGATTTTATTTTATTTCTATAAAAAGTTGACCGCCTCATTTGTTTTACGTAAAAGTTCGAATTTCACTTCGAATAATAGTGTTTTGTATTCAAAATTCTTTCGAATCTGAATCAAGATATGCACATATTCGATTCGCTAATATTAATATTAATAATATATAATTTATTATAATTTATTAATATGATATTTTATTTATATAATATGTATAGATATATTAAATAAAACACAAAAATATTTTTATATTTAAAAAAAATAATATTTACAAATATGTATTATATTCAAAACATATATTTAAAATAAATTATATATATATATATTTATAAATAATTTCTGAATACGACTACCGAATCGAATCGATTAGATTTGATTATCTTAATTGACTTGAATATATTTGATTATAAACAAATCGAATATGAATTACAGATTAAATCTATAGCGAACCCAACACGTGAATACTCGAATATTTTCACGAATTAGATTCGACTAGTTGAATATTCGCTTCAATTCGATTCGTTTACAACACGAGCCCTAAATGCTCCAAGTCGGGTAAGGTCAGGCCGTGTCTAGGTCTTTTTGTCATTTATAGATGCCTTTCTTCTAATAATGATAATTATAATAATATTGAATATATAAAATTGTTAATTCTTAAGTGTTACTTAATACAAAGTGCTACAAAAAAAAGTATTACATTTTAGCAAAATGTTACAAAAGTGTTACATCAATATCTAAAGTTTTTATAATGTCATAAGTGTTACAATAATGTGATACATAAACTAACAATTGATAAAGTGTTACAATAATAATGTTACCCAAAGTCATTTATGTTGTAGTGATATTCGTGGAGATTTAACAACGTGGGTTGCATTTATAAAATGATTTGGATATCAACATACAATTTATAATTGAGTACTATTAACAAATAATGTATTATTATCATTAAATATTTTTTTTATTGAAATGCACAACTATTGAGACTGAGAATTTAAAAATTATTTTACCTTTTTCAAACCGAGTTTAGAAACCACAAAGATTGATAAACAAAGAATTGATAAACATTACCAAGTTCACTATCACTTGTTCCAAATAAATAGATTGTGATGATTATTGGAAAATATATTTAAAGAGTAGCGTTCAATATTGTTTTTTAAGTCATGAATAAAATTACCGATATTATACTTTTATTACATTTTGAATGGAGATTTCATAATATAAAGACTGAGATTTTAATGCTGTTTGTTGTTTCTAAGAAAAATAAAAATGAAAAAAGTACACACTTAATAGATCTTAGCTAGAATATTTAAATAATAAAATGAATTCGTGCCCGAATTTTAAAGCAACATTTAATGTTGTATGATTTTTTAAAAATA